CTAGGTATTGTTAACACGTTCTCTGGCAAAGTGTTTTCCTGTTTGATTCTTCAAGTTACTTTCATTCATTCTATATTCTATTTGTTCAGTATTGTATATTAAAAGATGTACGAATTCTCTAAATGAAAAGATCTCCCTATGTTTCTATATACGAGCGACGCGGTGCAAAATATGTTAAAATAAATATAAAATTAGTATAACGATAATTCGTAAAATGTTCTATTGAAAGTTCAGATAGTTTTACTAGAAAGAATTTGTAATTCTAATTTTTATGAAGCCATCACGATTCGACGAAAAACCTTCATTTTTCTATTATGCAAGACATTACGAGAGACCTTCGAGAGGCCATTCGAAGAACGAACATGCGATCTGTGCTTCGATTACGAAAGAGAACAGACATTTCCCATTTCCCAAACGTCAAGGAACTCCTCGTTTGCAAATAAAAATTTACAATTTATTAAGCAACACGATAAATAAACTTTTGTGCAGAGAGGGAAAGAAATCCATCTAATAATATCGCCAACTATACCAAACGGTATTATCAAAATAAATTGAGCTATTCATCCGGTAGCAGAAATGTCGTTCAAACCAGTCGGGCATCGTTTTCGCGCAAATACAGCGAATCAAGGGCTGCAGAATTTCGTAGAAATCATAAAATCCGGGGTAAAAGAGAAGCAATAAGATCGCCTCGGTATGGGGGTGGGGCGGGGAGAATTCATCGGGACGCAGCGGTCATTTCTTCGCCGAGGCAATAGACAGTCCGAAGGAAGTTCCGGTGGGCATCGAGAATCGCAACTTCTGGTCACGTGCCGGCAATCACCGTGTCAGCTGAGACGGCCACGTGATTCGTTTCTATCGTATCCGTGCGCCGCGATTCCAGTTGGCACGTTTCGCGTAACAAACGAAAGGTCCCGCCTTTGAGACCGTTTCATGGTAGTAGCTTTCACGAAAATCGGACAAAGCGCACGTGGCCTTCTGTTTCGCGCTTTCCACGCGCCTTACCCCGTAACCCGCCGCCACGACGTTCACACGACCTCTCACTGCGGAGAATTCCCTCTGAAAGTTCACGAGAGAGATGGAAAACGCGTTACTCCGCGTCACTTCGTTTCATGAAAATCGCCCGTGAAGTTGGAATTGTCAAAGCGTTCGAAGTTGCAAACTTGTAATTTTTTTTTCGTGCAAGTCCGCGGAAGACCCGCGAACGTGTATTGTTCTAGGACTCGAGTAATCTTGAATTTATGTTTATTATTAATATTATATTACATAATATATTATATATAATTTTACGTAAATACTAATTAGTATTTACGTGGTATTTATGTAATTTTATTACGAATATTTTGTTACGGAGAATTTGGTAACTTAATTTTACAGAATTTCGTAGCGCTCGAATATAAAACTTTGAGTTTAAAAATGTGACTACTGTATACTGTAATTTTGTATCGAATTAAATAATAGCGATAGAATATCTTAGTTTATTCAATTTTGCTAGGATCATTCAGTATTTCTTTTTCATCTTTATGAATTTCCCGTTTATCAGAGAACATATGTCGAAATTATTAAGAATACGTTTGTTCTTGTTTCCTGATCGTCGTATTCATAAAGTTCTATATATATATATAAAGTTCTGTTATTTGTACATAATTCATTCACTATCTCACGAAAATTTTGAAACAATAATTACAACGTTGACAATTATTTAATAACAATAGATCAGTCGTCTATATAATTCGTCAATTATTTTGAGAAACTTTTGGAAACAATGTCGACAGTAATTATTTTTTTGAATTCAAATAAAATTTTCCAATACTCAACGTGCGAGCCACGATCAATTTTCGAAAGATTTCACTTTATTGGAATCGAATTATTTCCGTCAATTGCTCGTTCGAGTTCTATTTCAAATTATCGGGCTTCGCTTCGATTCGTTCGATTTATGCGACCGTCAAAGTTTCCTGGCCGCTACTTTTTAATTCCACTCTTTCCTCTGAACGAAGACAACGATTCAGTTTTATCGTTCTTCATCGAAATTACGTATTAATTACTTTGGCAACTTTCTTACCGATACCGTTCTACCGACGGGAAAAATCCGATATTTTTCGAGCAGATCGCCTCTGCGTTCATTCGTCGTACGACGACGCATTTGCATGTTAATGCGAATTCGGTGATTTTATCTCGCGTGGAAATGTGTCGATCATGATTAAAAAATACGGAATATATCAATAGTCTCTATGTTAATTGCGCCCGTTGTAACGGGAGACTATCGATGCACGTCGAATATATCGGAAAGTTGAATAAAATTAAAAATTCACGTTTCTCGAATATATATCTTTAATCTCGTTTCCTTTAACGGTCAATATTAATGTCAGTTGCATCAGTTCTTCAAGATACAAGCTTTGAGTTAATAAACAAAAATATATTTCCCTTCCTTTAATTATTTTCATTTCTCTCTTTTTTATATTTATATTTTCATATTATAACGGTCAGTAAATCTTCTCCAATTCAGCGAAAATCCATTTCAATCACTCCATCGAGGAAATCGATAATAGAAACCCTTGTGAAACATAAAGTAAAACTGAATAACCTAAATTCTTAACGAACAGAATGTATTCTTAACGAACAAATTGTACAGTCATTTGTAATCCAGCGATATTGACTTGAGAATTAAACCCGGATCTAAAGAAGGAAGCGAGATTATTTATCGATAACGGTCAGTTTAGCGAAACTGGCCTTTCAACGAAGAAATCGGTAATAGCGGTCTCTCCTAAATGTTCGCCGGCTCGTGTCGAAGTGTATCGACGTTTATTCCACGGTGGATACAAGCAGCTCTCGCCAAGCGATTTCCATAAAACAATTTCCGCAACTGCACTTTCGCAGTCCTACGAGAATTCTAGACGCAGAGTTCTCGTGTCGCGTTACGTCACGCGAATACGCGATAAAGCCACGCATTCGAGACCGGCAAGAAGTAACGTTGTCCGACAAAAAGTTATCGTTAATCGACCGACCTGGAATAAAAAAAGGACCTGCAATCCCCATTACTCGCGCGAATAGTTTATCTAACAGAGAGACACTTTCGAAGCTTGATAAATTCGAAAAATAGTAGAAGAATTATGGCTCCTCGCGGATTCGTTGGAAATTTATCGCGACGACGCGGATAGTTTTGTTTCGTTTTAATGAAAAATTATAGCAAATGTCACACTGGAGGGATTTCTGTATGCAAATGTAAATTTTACACGTAAATAAGTGTTTTTCTTTTTTCCAACTTGATGTATAAATGCAAAATGATTTATACTGATTCGGGCTGTTGCAATGGATCGCATAAAATTAATGATTCAGATACGGAACTCGGAATTTTTGTAAATAATTCTGGTATCGTGTGAAACGTGATCATTAATTTGCTTGATCAAAAGAGGTACACACATAATTAAAATTATAATAAAATAATAATTATAAAATTATACAATTAATTAATAATAATTGATAAATCAAATTTTAGAAAAGAAGAGTTCAAGACCAAGTAGAGTAGTCTTTCAATGGTCAGACAAGCGATTCCTTATTTATTGCTTGCAGCAAAAATCGCTATCTGATGAAGATTGTCGATTAATGATGTGAACTAATAAAAATTAAAAGGACAGAATCAGCTTTTAGTGGCCATACATACAACTCTCTATTCATAGTAACTACCACTATTCAAGATTTTCGACCGCAGATGCAAATTCGTAAGAAAAATTTAAAAAGTCAGATCACTCAAGTAGAATAGTCTTTCATTAGTCAGACATACAATTTATTATTCCCTGTTTGCAGAATTCATTCCGCAGTTTTAAGATTTTCTATATAAAGATATATATTTATATCTTTAGGATACAACATATAAATAACAAAAATGAATAGAGTACTCGATCAGCCAAGTAGAATAATCTCTTATTAATTCGACGTGCAACTCTTTATTGTCTGTGAAAACTTACGAAAACAATTTTACATCCTTGACATTTAACTAATACTTTCTTAACAAGCCAAAATCTCATTCTTCAAATAAATTGAAGACTTTGCTCCTTGAAAGAATTTGATTATTCAAACGTCATTACGTTGCAGGTTAAAAACCTCACTTCTTGAGAAAACCAATATCTGTTCGATCGTGTTTCAAGCGTGTCGACAGTGTCTACAATACAATCGTAAAACGATGTGTCGTCGAACCGTTAAACAAATTGCTTCGCCGTCTGAAAAGGAACGAGACAGTGGAGCTCGACCGTTCCAAGAATTCTCGCAAACTCCGGCTCGCATTTGAAAAGTGGAACTCCAATCTCTTCCTCGATGAATATTCACTTGACAAAAGCAAACACTCTCCCTTTTCCATTTCTTATTCTTCCTCCTTTTTCCGATCCTTTTGTTCCTTTCACTCTACACTTTTATTTTCCAACGAATTGACTTTTAGAAAATATTTCGAAGTTTGATTAAAATGTGAGAAGATCCGTATTGTTATATATATATTCGAACACCTGTCGTAGAAGTATATGTTACGTGTGTTATTTAACATTTAAATACTATTAATACGAGTATTGATGAACTTCTTCTTCTTCTTTTTTTATTTTTCTTTAATGTCGCATCGACAGCGAGATCATTAGCGACGACGGTGCCATTAGATATGTGTGTAGTAGTTTATGTTTTTGAGATATTTTAATACTCTTTGTACGTCATTTTGAGAAGTCAGGTTTATGTTTGCGTTGATTCCGTATTTCTGTCTTTGGATTTCTATGGTGTGGCATTCGTGCAGTATGTGGGTTATTGGATGGTTATTGCAATGAGTGCAGGTGGGTGGTGTAGTTTTTTCGAGTTTGTGTTCAGGTGTCAGCTTGGTATGACCGGTTCTTAGGCGTGAGATAATTATTCCTTCTTTCCTGTTGGTAAGGTTTGGTGTTTGCTAGTGAAAGTCTTGGATACTTTTGTGCTTTTAGTTATTTTCCATGTACTGTTCCATTCATTTTTTGCTACTTTTTCGCAGTGGATTATTTGGTCGTCGCAGCGGATTGGAAGATGATCGCGATTATTAATAAGTGAGGGAACTGTGGCTTCTTTTGCTGCTGCGTCGGCTTTTTCACTTCCTTCTATTCCTTGAGAGTATTGATGAACTATTTATTGTAATATAATCAATCACGTAGGTTTAATTTTATTATTTCTCTCACATATATTCACGTATATTCATAATGTTTCTACAATTGTTCGAATATTCCCGACAATAAAATCGCGCCTTTTTGCAGTCTCCGGTGTCCCCTCATTAATTACAGTTCGACGATTAATCAAGCGGCGGCTCGTCGCTGTTCGCAAGTCGCATCGGCGAGATTTACAATATTTACGTGACTCGTCACGGTGCGGCGACGCGCATCAATTTCACGGTGGAAAATGGGCCGCCCTCCCCGCGTAAATCGGCCGCCGCGTTAATTTCCACACGTGCAATCTACGCGCGGCGCGGCTGTTCGATAAAACCAGCCCGACGAGGCGAACAAAAAAGCGGAAGGGAGACGAGTGACGATGAAACCGATCCCCCATAACCCTTCCCCTGTTGTTGTCGTCGCATCTGTGAAATCAATGATCGCTCTTTTTTTTTTTTTTCCTCCTCCCCCTCCCCATCCATCTCGCAGTTACCACCAATTTTGGTCTATATACGGTCGGATGAAGTTTGTTTCGAAGAAATTGCCATTCGCTTGAAAGCGAATTTGGTTCGAAGCAGAATTATTTAAATCGCTACGATGAGAAAACAAGAGATTCTTGGAATCAACGTTACCGAGGTGAAATTTCGTTGCCGAGTCCGCCAGTTTCAAATTTTTGGTAGACGGGCCTTCGTGGAATTTCACGAAATATGTGTTTCGTATTCTAGAAAAATGAAGCCCAAGTGGAAATTGATATTTTGATTGTTTTGCTACTTTTATTACATTTATAAATTTATAGCGAATCATAATAATATTTGGAGACTAACGCACATTTGACTTGGAATTATATCCATTAATAAATCATTTATTATTATACTTTGAAATATGTTAAAAGATTGTAATTAATATTAAAGATTTTGTAATAGTTAATCTGGTGTAAATTGTGACGACGAGAAACGATTAATTTCTTGAAATTAATATTATCAGTGAAATTTTACGAGTCGGGAGTTTTAAATTATTGGTAGATTTTGAATTTTCGTGAAATTTTATGTTACTGATGTTTCAAGATATGTATTTCATATTTCAAAAAATGCAGCCCAAATTTTATTTTGATCGTTAAATATTATAAATATTATAAATTTTAAAAATTGAATTATACGCATTCACTGCATTTTTCCAATTGTCGTAAATATATAAAAACTCGCAGTCTAATTATTTAATCCAATCCTACAATCTAATCTACAATTTGTAAATTCGATATTGTTATTTAAGATAATAATTATTTAAGAAAGTTCAGGAATTTGAAAGAATCTCAAAACTCTGATCAATTCATATTACTTTAGGGATAAAATCTTTTGTCAAGATACGATTTTTGACGATGGAGTAATTGTTTCAAAATGAAATAAATAACAAATAACAAATATTAGAAATTCTGGATCCTCGGTGAACCAGTGGTAATATGTGACCGTTTTAGTGATCAAGCGAGTTCGAGATGGAGATGAACATCTTTTCGGTGAATCTCAGCGTGGCTTGCGGTTAGATAAATTGAGTAATAAGGGGTTCGAGAGAAGTTCCACCTGGAATTCGAAGCCAGAATCTCCCTGCCAGACTATTCCTCGATGCTCTCCTTTTACGTAATTGAACCAATGAAATTGATAACGTATGTGCTTGATATTTCGAAACGTTCATAGCAATGAAAATTTAATTTTTAAGAAAGTCAGCTTGAAATTCCAAAGAATTTCATCCGAGAAGAGCTCGAACAAACTAATCATCGACTGACGAAACTATCTGAATTTAAAGTTATTCTAAAGCAAAAATTCAACGCAGAATCGCAATTTCTTGTAAAAAGCACATTATCGAACGAAAACACATTGGCTTAAAATTACGTTCATTTACGGAGGAAATTGGTCAAAGAAAATTCAACGTTATATAGCGTTAAAATTAAAATTATTTCATTCGCGAATTAAAATTAATCGAAAGGCCTAATTGAACGCCTGTGAAATAAACATTGATTCGAATAATTTAACAGAGAGATTAAGAAGTGAACGGAGAAAGTGTCGAATTATTCGAATCAATGATTTTATAATATCTCAAGGGCGATAAACGTTCAACCGATCGCGGTTTATTATTTTTCATGGTATAAGTGAACGAGTAAGACGATCGTTAAACAGGCAGATAGGTAATTAATGGATTTATTATCGAACTAACGAACTCTCCGCGGCCGGTGAAAAATGGATAGGAAGGAGAAGTGGAGAACGGTCCAGGGTGAATTCGAAATCCATTACTAGCCGGCGACAGCTCTGGGAATAGCCGCGGCGTAGCTACTCACGTTCAACTGAATGCGTCTACCTGTGATACCGGTTTACCCAGTCAAATAAATCATCCGAAAAATGTTAATTTTCACTTGAATCTATCTCACGTGTCTGCAACGCGCGCCGGATCAATCGCACTCTCGTTGCGTTCTATTTCCAAACTTTACGTTTTCCGGTTTCTAAACTTCGATCGAAAGGGACGCCATGTTCTTTCCCCTTTTCATTCAGTTATTTTTCAAATATCGCAGGATAGAACGAGTTATTTGCAAATCTTTTGAATGTCACCGAATGAAACAGGAATGGAGAGATAGGATGGAGTTGCATTGAGTATCTTTTAAAAGCGTCGATACTTATTTTATGGTGTATATATATTATATATTACCTTATCCTTATTATAAATAATATTAAATTATTATATGTTATATATATTATATATATTATATATTACATATATTATATTATATATATTATATATATTATATATTACCTTATCCTTATTATAAATAATATTAAATTATTATATGTTTTATATATATTATATATATTATATTATATATATTATATATATTATATATATTATATTATATATATTATATATATTATATATTACATATATTATATATATTATATATTATATACAATACCGTTCAATCTGTTTTCGTAATTTTGTTCACTTGGTTATTAGTTATCGTCCCTCTTTCATATTTCTGACGATTTGTATTTAAATCTCTTTGCGTTTCAGTGCTTAATTGCTTCCCAGCGTGATTTAACCGATATGTTTTTAAAGCATATTAATTAATAAATATTTAAAAAAAATCCTTTGGGGGAGGGGGAGGGGGCTTAACAATCAATGCCGTGAAATTTATTCTCATTTCATATTCGTGATCCGCAAATGGGAACTGTGGCAGCTGATAATATTTTGATTTTATTTCTGTACCATTATTATTCATTGCTGCTTTTTATTTTTTGTTTTTTTTCATCATTATTGTTTTTTATTGCTCTTGTATCCATCAATTACATTCTTCCTTCTCTCACCTCCCTCCTTGAAATGTTGGCGCAGTTAATACGTTCGTTTTTTTTTAAACTTATGTAATCGTACTGTACTCCATTCTGCGCATTAAATTTACCTTCATTAAATTGAATAAAAAAAAAATTGTTTTTTTACAATATTCAGAAATGGAAATGGAAATCTGATTAATTAGACTGCGAAATTTTTACGTATTCTCGTAATTTTTACGAACGCGGATAATTGAATTGTTTCAAGCATTTTCTTTCCCTAAAGCGAACGATCAGGCATCAGATCGCACAATGAATATGCATTTTAAGTTACACGTACATTAGAAAATGAAAATGGCAATTACTTTCTCGCCAGCCGAATAATTTGAAGAATAATTTATATTTTAAATTCAACGATACTGAAAATGAATCGAACCACTACGATCCAAACTTTTGCAAACGACACATATCGTATAAATCAGAAGTTGCTAAAATAAACCAATCGCCGCGAAGGGTTTTCCATCCTTCTTGAGAAACGAGAGTATGACAATCGAAACTTGTGTCACGGGTGTCTCCTTTATCCCTGAATACACCGGCTTACTCGAAAGTTAAAGTGCCGCGACGAGGAATAGAAAGAAGAGAGGAGGAAAAAGAAACAGACGTTGAGGAACACTGGATAAATTACCTTGTGTTTGTCGACCACCACCGGTCTCAAGTGGCGGTCGAAGAGAAGCTTGTCAGGCTCGATGTTGATAGGGCTCTGTCTCCTTCCTTTGCTGCACAGAGACCACTGGGGATTTATAAGACCCCAAAACGAAGGTCCTGCAAACAAAATGAAAATGGTACACGTTAACGATTCACCCCAATTTTCCTCTCAAGGCTTGATATCTCTCTCGCCCCGTCTTTAACGAGCGCTGTTCACTCTCGTTTCTCTCTGTTCTATCTTGAAATTACTTCTCTCGAATTGCCAGATTTCAGAAATATCGGCGCGTGTTATTTTATCAAATATACCGCTGTTATTTGAGAAACGCTGCAACTGGCCGTGTTACGATGTAGACGCGACAGAGAGGTACGATGTAAATTTCGCTTCGCTTCGTTTACGTTCGTTTAAAATTCAAAAAAAAAAATCTCTCCTCGATGTGCAAATCATCCCAGGTGAAATAATAGTTTGGAACGATTTTCGATCGTTGAATAATAATGTTATTTCAGATGTGTTATTACTCGTCTGCAGGAACGAATTTCTTGAAATTATTCATTTTTATGATGGTACGTATTAATGATTAATTAACTTAATAAATAATATTTAGTATATAATTTTAGATACATTAAATAATAGAAAAGTCCATCTTAAAATTGACTCGCTTGTATAATGAACATCCTTCCTGTACAAGGGATTTGTTAATCACGAAATTAAAATCGATTGCATTTCAGATCACTCGTCCTCCAAGCTCTCTAAATATATAATACCACGCGTTAAAAATTAAGAGATCCATAATTAAGTCTCTCGGAAGCTAAAAAAGTAAATTGAAATAACGGAATAACTTTTAGTACTTTTCTTCGTCTTTCTTCTTCAAATAAAATTTACTCCATCGACCGTAAAGTATATTCTCAAAAGTGAAACCTGTAATTGTCCTGTTCACGAGGGTGACAATCAAACGTCCAACCCTCCAAAAAAAAAAAAAAAAAAAGAAAAAGGATCAGGAAACATCTTTAGTAAACTCGCAACCACGGTCATCAACCCGTTATCAGCTGACGTTGAAACTGTCGTTTCGGGTATCGGTGGCACGTGGGTGCGAAACAATTCCCCCCCCCCCCCCCCGGCGGTTTCCAATTTCTCTCCCGCCGCTGGAAGTTTCGACGAAGTTCAATACGCGGGTCGAAAAACCGCGACAGTGGCCATCCCAGGCGGGGTGTCGCGAGTCGTCGTCGCCGCGTCTTGTCGTCTGTCAGCCCGTTTGAAAATTTGAAATTTTTATAATTTCAACTTTTCCGGCTGGCCTGCGCCGGCGTGGCCTTCCTCCGCGCCACGCCGGAACCTCGCCCGCTCCCGTCAACTTTTATTCGGTAAAAGGGCTTTCGAACTCGTTTCGTCGGCCGACGCGAGCCAACAGGGAGCTCAACCCTCCCCACATCCCTTCTCTTCTCCTTCCCTGCGTCTTTCGCCTGTTTCCGCTTTCCCAGGCATTTCCCACCGTCTCCTCTGAGAAATTTAACTTCCGTTTCGCCCGAACTGCGAAATCGTGTATCGATGCGAGAATTGGTTCGAATTAACCGGTCTTTTAACCCGCGAATTTATCGTAAGATGGTGCGTTCGTGGTGACGCATATGATTTCGTCACAGACAGGGTATAGAAAACACCGGCATAGTGAAAAATCACTGGTTTTTTTAGCGGATTCTACGTTCAAGCAACGACGAGAGTTGGAGAGCCAGTGAATGATTTTTTAGACCCATTACAGTGTCAAACTTTCAATACCGAAACGTGAAACTAGTCGAACTGATCGAAATCATACAACTCGTCTGTGATTTCGTTTCTCAATCGATAACTGCGAGTTTGATCGTGATTTTTTTCAATAACGATGGCAGGTGGTGGATTTGTACTTCGTACTTCGTCGTGGAAATAAGCGGCTTCTCTCTCGTACGAGTGGAAAAATACGAGCGCAACGTCAATGTCACGCCATGCGTGAAAGTACGTATTATAAAATGCACGTACATGTCGAGATAATACTCGGTTTTGCACAGTATTACCTCAATGTACAGTGTAGGTCATTGTATCCACATAGATGGATGTTCAACGTTATATCCGCGGCAGTAGCTCGAAATGACGTGACGTAGGAGGAATGAGCTGCAGTTGAAATGGTTGAACATTTTTTTTTAAATTAAATAATAAAATTAGGTGAAATATTTTTGAACCGCGAGAATGAGAAACGAGGAGAGTTTTACTCTTCGGGAAGCAGCACGGTTGTTGTACTGAGGTTTAAACTTTTCTTTGTTTCTTTCGTGAAACATTCGGTGAATAGACGCTATAAAATTTGTTCGTTATTAAAATAACGTTAAGAAGTTTGGTTCACAATCGTAAAAAATTTTAGCTATCATAAAAGTCGTAACATTCTGTGATAATTGTTCTGATAAAACCGCATTTATGTTATTTAACAATGTTCGTCGATATCTTTGCAATTGTAAGCAAATTATTATTATTTAATATTATTTATTAATATTATTATTTATTAATATTATTGTATACTATTATATAATTTATATAATAAATTATTTAATATTACTGTAACATAAACAATAATTTGGAGTAAAATATTTCTTTTTCAAACTAATTTTGACCATTAAAAAATATTATGCGGCTCACTTGGTAATGTAAATTTCATCCATACGCTCGTTGAAATAATACTTTCGAAGTTAAATTTATTGCTTTGTACTGCAACGCATTATGTCTTAAACTCTACACACTCTTTCTTGACAATTATCGTTTCTGCGCCATTATAAAAATTGTAAAAACATACTTCCAGAAGCGAAACTATCAATAGCGCGGCGAAAGTAAACGCTGGAAGCAATTCAACACGTTCTCGGCACGGCACGCGTTGCATTGTTAAATTATTTTAAATCGATATGAACGACATCGAGCATCTCGTGAGTATTCGATCCGAAGCAGCACTGGCGGCTGTTGAAAGTATCACGCGCCTTTCCGTTTAAAGCACGATACAATTCCGTCGCGTTCTCCGTCTTCCATGGCACTGACGTCTATGATATTAACGATCCAACGCGTCGTAGGGGTAAGTAATAAATTATTGCTCGTATAAACAACTCGTATAACCGACGCGCCAGGCACGTCAGCACGGAAATTTGCCACCGTGACGGCACGCGACGTTGCACACAAAGAAACTCTCGTACAACGATCCATACACGCCCGCGCGGTTTTCCAGCAAAGTGTTCCGTGATACTTTCTCATCTTCATTTAATGCATAATAATTCAGAATATTCGCCGCGACGTTGTTGGCCGATCCGTCGTGAAAATTTCACCCCTGAACAAACGTCCCTTGGATGATCTGCAATAGTAATTAACAACGAGGAGGCGATATTGCAATAAAATATTCGCCACATAAGTACGCGATAATGTTGAGAAATATATCGCGACTTGGACTTCAAATTTCTATTGTACTTGTGAAATTCGTACTGCGTTTTATTTCTAAAAATTTCTAAAATTTTTACTTTTGAGGTTCTTGTTAAATTCTTCTTTCATCTCCTTGAAAGTCTTTTTTTTTTCTTTTATTGTGAATCTGAATTTTAATAGATAACGACGGACAAAGGAATGTTCAAGCAGAAGGAATATGCAAACATGAATAAATTAATACACACTGTGGCTAAAATTTAAATTTCGGATACACATTCTGTGTATGGATCTTCTAATATGAATAGTGATTTTCTTATCTAGAACATTTTAGCTTATTGTCTAGGAAATGAACATATCTGCTGCTGTATAGTCGAGAAATATATAGAAATTAACTATACTATTATAATAGAATTATTATTATTAACTATACTATTATAATAGAATTCTATACTATTATTATAGAAATTAACAATAGGCACAAAATACATATATGTAGAGTAAACGTGTACCCAAGTTTTCGACTACTTACTTTTATACTTCAGAAATATACAGAAATTAACATTTGGCAATATATGAATATTGAAATATCAATAGGTATAAAATACAAATATTTTTCTGTAAAAGAGAGCTGATCCAAATTTTTGGCTAATACTATATACTTTAAAGTATATACAGATTACTATGTCCCTTTCTTTCGTCTGAGAATCATTTTCAAGCACAGTCACTTAGTTAATTTCCCCATTAACAGACACTAACCACGTCCGTCTCTCTAAATTCTAAAAGTCTACTCAACACCAACCGAATCCTACGCGTTAAAAGAAACAACGTTTCTAGGAACGATTCGCCAATGATCGTCGGACGCAACCTTTCACGGACGATTCTTTTTATGTGTCAACGATGAAAGGGAGGGAGTGGATAGCGCTGTAATGATAGCGAGGCACGCGAGTGCAATTAAAAATTACGGGGTCAATGCCGATGCACACAGAGCATTGCGTTTCTCGCGGCAACGCGATTGTTTAGATCGTGTGTTCTCGCCTTTATCGTCGCCATATCGACGCAATTAACCCCGTTTGTCCCTCGATTCTCACCCTCTCCTCGCGCGAAATCGGATTTCCCTTCGCTCCCCTTTCAGCAGGGTTGACGCACAGAAAAAGCGAGGAATGAAATAAAAGGGTATTAGCTGGTATTTTTTTCTTTTTTTTTCTTTTTCTGTTTTGTTTTTCGAGTTTATCTGCACTCGTTGGAAATATTTTTGGGGGGAAGGAGCGCGCCGCCCGTAAATTTCGCGAGTGATAACAAACGACTCGTTGAACGTGTTGCCGCGCGTTATAGTTTGTCGGAAGGGAAATGTGCGTTTAACGATTTTGTCGACGGGGTGCTTGTAAATGCTCGCCGTTTCGACGATCTCGCGCAACCCTCTTTTTTTCTCTTCTTCTTTCTTTTTTTTTCAATCGTTACTCGCAGAAATAGGAGTTCAATTTAACACCGGTGTTCCTTGACGCGTCAGCATCTTCAAAGCTAAACTGGATTTTCATACGCTCGTGTCAAGTGTCGTCATCGTTGTTGAATCCTTTTATCTTTGAAGCACGATCTGAACTTAGGACGAACAACTGATTCAGCGACGATAATAATGATTAACATTAATCACTTAAAAATCAAACTGATCAACTGTGTCTGCTTTATTCTCATTTTTCTATTTTTT